AAGAAGAAGAAGAAGAAGAAGAAGAAGAAGAAGAAGAAGAAGAAGAAGAAGAAGAAGAAGAAGAAGAAGAAGAAGAAGAAGAAGAAGAAGAAGAAGAAGAAGAAGAAGAAGAAGAAGAAGAAGAAGAAGAAGAAGAAGAAGAAGAAGAAGAAGAAGAAGAAGAAGAAGAAGAAGAAGCATTGACAAAATCACTATCCATCAATTGCAAAAGGCAACTTTATTTGGAACAGTTTATATCCTGCAATGATAACTTTAGCCCCATCAAACAACATCTTCCTATCCCAGGCCCTTGGGAAGTTGATAGGTAGATAAAAATGCCAAATCCAATCTAAACATCTGGCTGACTTTGTTACCAAGCATAATACTAAAGAGTTGAGACCTGTACTCTAGTGTTTCAGGAGCAAATGTGAAGAGACAGGTTATGGATCACTTAACTTACTAACAACAATATATCATAATTATTCAGATCTTCTGTGCACTTAGGCACTTAATAACTCTTTTCTTCAAGATAAGTCTCCAAAACCTGTGATTCTAATGAGAAGAAGGCCTAAACCTTTATGAAAACAAAGGATCAATACATTGCTTAACCCTCTAAGCTGTACCCCATCAGTTTCTCAATAATTAAAATTATATTCACCTTCTTAATTCTTTGAGCTTCAGCCACAGATATTCCTTGCAAGCTGTGCTATCAATGACCAACTATAAAGTCTTATTAAACCAATAGTGGAATCTCCTTAAGCCAGTAGAAAAGAATACGGGATATGTTTAAATGTGGGCTTTAAATGTAATTTTGAAACTCACTTATGCCATTAAGATAATATTCTAAGCTAAGGTTTGTTGTTGTTTTTACTTGTAGGGATTATCAGCAGAGATCTTTCCCATTATATGTACTACTTGTTCTTGCCTTTTTGAATTGGAATTATTATGATTCGTATCTGAATGTAGTTAGCCTCTCAGACATGAATGCTTCCATTTTTGCTAATACTAATGTGTTAAATCCCAAGCAAAGCTAAATATGTGTTGCACACCTTGAAAACTTTTCCATTCTTCTAATGCTGCTTTATTTAACAGCACCAGAAGGCTAAGCTTCAAGAGAAATATTGTAAACAAATCTCTTGATGGCTATGATACACAACTATTCTTATACATTTTGATACCACAATGTTCATCTCTCCATATAACCAGATCTCAGTTGTTCTGACTTGTTCAATCTGAATCAAAGAACAATATCTTCAGTCTGTTTTTTTCACACATTTCTTTAAACAATAGAATTCTTATGCCACTTGAAACTTGCTCTTTTCTCTCTCTTTGCTCTTTAACTACAGCGAACAGAATGACAATTAGCTGAGTGATTAATATTCAGTCTAGGTCATTAGCAAAAAGAAGAAGAAAAAAAAGAAAGAAAAAAATAGCAAAATTCTAAGCAAAAAACCTTTATATATGTTGTTGTTGTTGTTGTTGTTTTAAAAAAACACTTTTAAACAGAGACAGCAAATCTCCAATTTGGTGGGGTTTCATTGAAGCTTACCAGATAAATGAGACATTAATAAACAACTCATGAAGTTTTCGGCCATGATAAAAGAAAGGGAAAAGCGATTGCATTAAAAGTCAAGAAAAGTAGGGGAATCAGATGTGTCAGCATTGCATTGTCTTGTTCTTGCTGTTGTGATCATCTAGAAAAAGCTTTTGTGTTTTTCGTTCTTAACAGCCCTTGGATTTTGAGACCAAAAATTCATATACACTGAAGGTAGAAGCAACTAATGCCTATATTGATCCACGTTTCATCAGCATGGGACCCTTCAAGGATACGGCAACATTAAAAATTGTAGTGGAAGATGCTGATGAACCCCCAATTTTTTCATCACCAACGTATCTACTGGAAGTGCATGAAAATGCTGCTATTAACTCCGTGATTGGTCAGGTGACCGCCCACGATCCAGATGGATCTTCAAGCTCTATAAGGTACTTCTGCTTTAAAACAGTTACATTCCTGCTGCACAAAGGGCTTAATGTGTATGATACCTGGGAGACCATCTCCAATCTCCAGTTGTGTTTGACTTTTTTCCCTCCTGTGGAGAACTTAGGAATTAAATTTAGTCAGATCATTTCTCCATCTAGTAAAGTCAACTCAGTCCACAGTTCTCTAGATTTTCAAGTAAGAGGAATTTTGACCTAGAAATACTATTTCCAGGCAGTTAAGATTCAAGGCTGCTGTAAAAAAAATCTCTCAGAGTTATGATTCATAAATTTTCTAATAAACTTAATTGATAATCCAATGT